TTCCTGAACAGGTTGAACTGAACTTCATGCAGGTGTCACTGAAAGGGATGGTCCCACCTCCTCCTTTCCTTCTGGCCATGAGTTTCTGCTGCTTCCCCATCAGCACTAGCAGTCATGCAGCAACGCAATGAGTTGGATCAGTTCTAACTTTCCCAAAAGAAAAGAAAGGGAGAAGAAAAATCTAGTTTTCCACCAGATCAGCAAATTGAGCTGGCCCGCCCCAAGGTCACACGGTCATCAGCATTGACCGTGGAAGAAGCTAACCTTGAAACCGCACGTGAAATCTGCAGAGCAGTTCAATTCCTTAGGTACGCTCTGGTCACACTAAAACAACATCAACTGCAAGACAACATGTAACAATCATGGTGATCCAAAAACATGTCCACAGAAGATCATATTGTCACCTTTAAATAGTAACCCAACGGCAAGAGCTCACCCAGGAAGCTGGACGCTTTCACCCCTGCAGATCCCACCTCCTACAAAGTCCTCAAGCCAGCAGACTTCAAGCAGAGCTTGGGCTGAGGCTGCTTTCTGCCCTCCCGCTGGCGCTGGGCCAGCGCAGAGCGGAATTCAAGATTGACAAAGCCATAAAGAGAAAGCACTGCAGGGCAAGTATGACTCCATGAGAGAGAGACTCCCAGGAGAAGGGGTAGAGCCCCATACTCTGGTCCCTTCTCCAGGAATTGCTCATGCCTACTACACTGAAGATTAGATAAAAATGTATACACAGCTCCTTTTATACTAAAGCTTGAAAAACACATCCTATGAGCTACGTAAATACACTTAAGAGCCAGTGAGAGCTCTGCCCTAACAGGAGAACAGCACAGACCTACCTGTATTCTTGGAAATATTTTTATTTTTGGTGGATAAAAGAAAATCAAAGAGCAAAGCTGAGATCTTCACAGTTATGACTCACTTCTGCCAACCTCATGTTTTGGCAATAAAACTGCATATAGACTCTTACAGGAGCCTGTAATAACAGGCCATACGGGGAATTTCAGTAGCCGCTTACGTCCTTAAAGTTACAATTCAGGTGCCCAAACTTGGATTGCAGGTTAGAAACGCCCGCTTGCTTCCACTTACTGCACCAGTGAACCCCTAAAGTCACAGCACGGCATGGCAGCTCTGCCTGCAGGCAGCCCAGTCGGCCAGCAGACACGTGGGGAACAAGTGAGGGAATTAGACACCAGAGATCATCTCACACAACTCTATCCTGAAAATGCACGGGTAAAAGTGGCTTCTATTCATACCTCACGCTGCTGGAAAGCATGCATTTTTATTTGACTCAATGAATTTTTTTTTTTTTTTTAATGTTGATATTACCATTCAGGTAGAGCAATAGAAGAGGAAGTGCTCCTCTTTTCCAGGTCCAATTTTGAGCTCACCATTTTGTATGCAAACTTCAGCTGCAAACTCTGCATTTAGATAGCTACGGGCCATGAAGAACTTAACTCAAAAAATTTACAAAACAAACAACAAGAAAAAGCCAACAAATTCTCTATACCTTGCCTGTAAACTTTCGCATGGGAATCCCTCAGAAATGAACAACAAATGAACGCTGTCAAGACACTGCACAGACCTAAAACATCAAGCACCGTGTTGGTTTAGTAGAAGACATCATACTACGCACCCGCACATCTAATTTCAGATTGTGTTAGTGTTTTCCTTACATGTTTGTGTTTAAAAAGCTACCATTTATGATAAAGGGGTTTTTTTTGTTTGTTTGCTTGGGTTTTTTTACAAAATCAAGTCTTTCACTACCTAGTGTAATAAGCAGAATTCTGCTTCAGAGAGAAAGTGCTGTTAAAACCTGCCTCCATGTGCTGCCTTTTTTTTTTTTTGGTCAAGATAATCACTAAAGGCATGACGAAAGGTAATCTCTACACCACGTATTTTAGATTCTCTCAATCATATTAGGTGACATTTTAAAAACCACAAGGAGATGGAGATACTACAAACATACATGTAAAAGGAAAAAATCGGGTTCCAAAATACCATTTTTTCAATTACTTTGGGTGTGAACCATCCCTGTGCACTGCATCAATGGTAACAGCCTGCTCCCCAAAAGAGGTGATTTTCAAGAGCAGCAATTCCTCTGTCCCACAGGTGGATACACAACAATGAACTGAAGATCTAAGACTCCTTCTCCTCAAACAGGGCCTACTTGTAATTTTGCAGTAAAGGAAACTGCTCCAATGTAAGCCTGAGGAAATTTGATCCACCACAGGTTTAACAGTTAACAATTTAGGGGCTATAAAAATTTGCTACTTCCTTTCTTTTTATCTGAAATGATAAGAAAACAATGATTTTTTTTGTTTTTTTTGTTGCCTTTTTTTTTTTTTAACAAGTCCCTCCTGAGAACATTTTGATAAGCTTATGGTTAAATAAATGATTTTCAGAAGATATGCAGTTAATTCACAAAAATACCTGTCAAAAATCTAACTTCGAATACCTAATTCATATAACATTCTCCTTTATTTGTTTAATTCAAGTAAAATATTTTCCTCCGCCCTTTCCTTTTCATAGGCTTTTCACACCCACATAACAACCAAATGACTCTTCCCTGACCCGGCCTCCCACGCCTTTTGGTACAACTGCTCGCTAGAAAGTCACCCCGTGCTTGAGCTCTTCTCCCAAGATCCGAAGGAAGCACTTAAGACAAGGAAATCCAGTACAATGCTAAACCTTCCTTTTTTTTTTTTTCTCTTAACCACTGGGTTTATTTGCAGTTCCGTAGGGACGTGTGGTGCACGGACTGCCTTCTCGGTTGCTGTTTCGGAAAAGAGGGAAAAAATATCCATGAGCACCTTACTACAACTCCCAACTCAAGCGGGTTTGGGAACGCAAGGCGTCCCAGCGTCACCCACCCAGGGAAGAACAGCAGCAGTGAATTCCTCCCTTCGTGGTGGACGGTTAGGACACAGCACCAGCAACTCCTACAGCTGGTGTCTAGAGAGGACCTGTCACAGAGCATGATAAATTCAATAATCACTATTTTGCTTTCCCCAACTTCCAATAACCTATGCATTCAAAACAATATTCTAGAGATCCAAGAGCTACAGTACCACGTATCAGCATCCAAGTAAAGCACCGAAGGAAAAGTTAAATAACACTATCCTCATTTTATCGACAACTAAGAATAAATAATGACTTGCCCAAGAAGCACCCCCTCCAAAAAATCCCTCCCAAAACCAGTGGCAGAATTGACAGCAGATTCAGGGAGCACGACTTCCAGACCTAGCTCCGTCAGCCAACGTGATTTCTTCTAGCCAACAGTATGTTAATGATTGGGGTTTTTTGAGAAACCACTAATTGGTACCTTTTTTCTTGCGATTTACAGAGCCACTTAAAAATAACATCATTCCTATTCTAGGCATATTTTAGGAAAAGTATCATTAGATTTAATTCCAGGAATGGACATCTGATTCTCGTGTGAAATTCCACAAGACCCAAGTCTTGTTCATTCAGTAAAGTGTAACAGGAAAATTACAGCGTAGCCGTGACTCCAGGACGACAGGATCCCAAAGCTGGAGGGCTGGCCCATCCTCTTTGCTTAGTACCAATGTTAGCAGAGGTTTGTAGCTTAAAGGTGGGAGGGAACAGCAATTTTAAATTGTTTTTGTCGACCTGATCGACAAAGTTTCCCCCGTTATTTACAGACTCCTGAACTGCAGCAGGCCAGCTAGTGTTTTCTGTAAAAGCTGCTCCAGTGAAAAAATGAATACACCTTGCCATGTTCATAAAGCTGTTAAAGAGCTTTCTTTCAATTACATTTAGCAAGATACCATCTTAGCACTGAAAATGAGAAGTACATAAACTTACCAATGCATTATCAGGAGAAGCATCAGAAATAAAGTTTAGGTGTTATTCAGTAGTCAGCACCTCAGCTCCTTCCTGGCACAAAATAAATCCCACAGGCAGCAGGTACTAGAACCGTCTCTCCTTTGCTAGTCATACCCGTATGCTCACAGACGTCTTCTGAATCTGCCACCAACAAAAGAAACCACAATAAGACTGTTTCCCTAATGCTTCATAACTGAGTCAGTAGGTCAACAATTCTTTCGGTTCAGGAGCCAGACCAATTCCCTTAAAAACCCCTCTTTTTTTTTTTTTCTGATGGAGAAGCCAACTGTCTCCTGCCAGTGGCAGCCCATCTGCTTCCAGAACAGAACCAAACCGCTCCAAACCACCACCTCGTTTTGGCGCAGACATCCGTCCTGACGCAACTCCATTTTGTCTCTCACGTCTGGGAATAACCACGAGAAAATACTTACAATTGAAAGACAGTCAGGAAACTGCTCCTTGTGCACCTTGCACACTGCTGCCGGCTCTCAGCCCACGTTCTCGTTTCCCATCCTTGAGATGGAGTGGCACGAAGAAGGGCACTTCATGTAATACCAGACCTATCCCCAGTCTGCCTTGTTCCATGCAAGCACAAAATATCCTGCGTGTGCATTTCAGGCGCACTGCTCGAACAAAGAGAAAGCTCTGAAGCTGCTATCCCTCTTCCCGATCCATGACTCAAAACGTCTGGTTGAAAATCGGTTTCGTAATAACCCTTTAGTACCACCTACTCACATCACAGAGTGATTCTTGCAGCAAATGCACAGGAAATCACCAACGAGTGCCAATGGAGCTACTATTCCAAGAACTAGCTCTTTCGGTTATTCCTTCAGCATTTGGAAACCGAGATGCTTTTACTTTCCCTATCGCACAGGACATATTTTTTTTTTAAGAGCTTTTAACTATGATCCTGTAAAATACTTAGTTGATAAATCACCAGCTGAAAACTTCCTCACTGTAAAAAAAAAAAAAAAAAAAAAGGGAAAGAATATCACAATACTCATTCCAGAAAATACAGTAACTCCTTTCTGGAAATAACTCACTGGACAACAATCAAAAGCGCAGAATTAATTTACAGAGACAGTTTGCATCCTGCAGAGCACACAAAGATGGTGTAGTCAGCCACGTGCCTTTCTGACCACCAACAGCAGACCCCTGACTCACCCAACCACAAGATGAGTCGCTATGAATGATTTCCTCTTCTTCCACACTCCCCCGCGGTGCTCTGTGCCATCGGCATATCCTGAGCCTAATCCCGACTTTGATGGAAATTCCAAAACTCATCTCATAAGGCTGTGGCCACCAGCTAACGATGCAGCCATCTGCTAGCTCCTGCTTTGAGTCACCTGTCAGCAATACAAAAGGAAATTACTCAGCAGCGAGCACGTGGAAGCCCACTGCTACAGTCTCTCGCGTACCCCTTACAGGAATACAAAATTCTGGAGCACTCAAATCACCCTGAAGGAAAAGTGTTATATTCTGTAGCTCTAACATTCAAAAAGGTGGAACTTGGCTAAAAAAAGAAAAGGAAAAAAAAAAAAGTGACAGGACCGCAGACAGAGAGCATTTTGGCTGGGTTTTCAATGCCAGCATCACTGAAGCTGCCACGGAAGGGGGGGACAAAAAAAAAGAAGACATTTCACAAACACTAGACCTTCACTGTGCGTGACAAGAAAAATAATTAAAACAACTGAGAGAACTAATCTGTGGCTGCTTAGGAAGTTAACTCTTCGAAGGAAGTGATTAAGTAAGAGAACAAAAGCGAAGTGTTATGTTTATCAAACAAGTAAACTTAACACACAAGAGTGCTTACTCATGTAAGTAAAGACTGAGTACTGCCACAGCCCTCCCCGCAGGCGTAGGTTCACACGGGGCTTGGATCTTATTGATTATTAAGCAGTTATGTCAAAGAAAGAAATCTTTTCAGAAATACGAAGCACCACTTTGCCAAAATACCAAACGCTATCAGAAAGGCAGCCACAATGTCCTGCGCCTCTTTACAAAATTCCCTTTATCTAACTGCTATTCAGGACAAAATTCACAAGGATTTTCCTGAGAAGACCTGATTAACCACTATGGTATTTACAAATTCAGTCCAGCAACAGTAATTTTTTTGTTTCATCACAAATTACGCAGCTCACGAATTCAGCCCTCCGAAACAAGGCTCCCAACTTCTCCCAAAAAACAGCAGACGAATAGAAGACCGTTAGTACACATGACACTCTGAATCTTCAGGAATTTCACAAAAATTAATTAATACTAAAGATCTAATTGTCTAACCTGCTTCTGCATGCAGAAAGCGCCAGACCTGGTGCCTCTACAGTGGGGGAGGGAGGCACTTCTTGTTCCTGTTTCATACTTGACTTTTTTTCCTGCGCAGGAGATGATCTAATTATTCAACGTGTCAGTATATTGCTTTACCCTTTCTCGTGTGTCTCCTTACATTAACATATTTTAACAATTCAGCTCATTAGGAAGGAAGCGAGGAACAAAACGGCGAACTGTCCTTAAAAATCAATCACAAAGGCAGGAGTCTTTCCATGTTTTGTCCTGTACCTATCCGAAACTCTACGAGAGCACACAACCAAGGATGCTGAATGTAAACCAGCGACAAAGCTCCCTAAACCCAATCCTCACACTGCACAGATGTAAGCGTACCTGTTCAAGGCACAAGCCTGATCGGCGAGCTCTGCGGAGGAATAATTTTGGGTCCTGCCCGATTAGGAAGGAAAAGAAACTCCCAAATGACAGCCTTTTATTGTTCCCAAACATGCTGATGCTCAGCTGCAGGCACTATCGGTGAGAGGGGGTTGATGGATCTCATGTATAATAATCGGGCACGGGTGATGAAAGCGAGGGACCAAACCACGTAAGGCTGCTACCGATCAACTTGAAATGGATCTGAAAAATGCTGAAATCCAAATACAACGTGCACGGCACCTGCATTTGCATATGTAGGATGCCAGCCGAAGTTTCCGAGCCTTTTCATCAAATGCTTTTCTTACAGCAAAGAGCCATTCAGTACCCAGCCCTTTCAGCAGATAAGCATTTGAGAGATGTTCTTGTGCTTTCAACCTTGCGTGGAATTACAACAGGTTTGCTCGTGAATTGGCTCGAGCAGGGTCCCCACTGTATATATTAAAACCACCAGTTCTTGGGAAACATTTCTTCAGCAAGTTTTGTGTATAACAGCAGGTCCTATATATAAACCTGTTTACGACTATTTCTAAAGAAGAGCTCGTTCTGAGGCAGTTCCTTTATTGTGATCGAACATGCTGGATTCATTCCCAGTTAAGGCTTATATAAGGCCTTCAAGGAAGTAGAAACTTATTTTGTACGAAATCAAGCCAGTATAGTAGTAGGTGCAACGGAATTATCCTGTTACACATTAAGTTTTACTAATAAAAGACCTGCATTGCAGTCATAAAGTCAAATGCTGCATCCCACTAGTAGAAACAGTCAAATATTTCCTGCCATAAAATCAAAACCTACTTAGTCAAAGGAAAGACGACAGGTAAAAAGCATCTGCTTTTTTGGTATAAAAACATCATGCTCCTTAAAACAAAAAACATGCAGTAGCTGGAATGGCTCATTTTCATCACTTGCCCAAGTCCGATTTAACTTTGGTTTAAAACAAAACCCAAAACACGTTCAAAAGACAACCATTTTCAAATGCATGATGTAAACTTTCTCAATGCTGTTGTTTTTTTTACAAGTACGTTGTTGGTATTTTTGTTCTTCTGAACAGATCACTCCACCGGCAGGTACATTCACTAATAAATAACACAGCTTTCTGACCTGTGCTCCGCAGTACATCCGTGTTAGGCTTATTCCCATGGCCTCTGATAGGAGCGAGCACGCCCAGGTGTGCTTGCAGGGACGGCTCACTCCAGGAACCCTTGCGAGGATGCAGCACCAGTAAGTCCGTAGCAGGTTTGGTTCCTACGGCCTCACACAGGCCTCTGACACCGCTCCAGCAAGATCTACACTTCCCAGGACCACCAGATACTGTCAAGCCACAAACTCAAACTCAGGCTTTAGGACTAAAAGCTGGGTATGTGACCAGATCTTAAAACTCAAGCTCTTGCTAGTCTGGGAATAAAACCACCAACTGGTACACTGTAGCATCAGGCTGATCTTCCTTCAGGCGCTTTAAAATGAAGAAAAAAAACCCCACAAACCAACCCTACCCCACTACACAAAAATGAAAGATTGTGAATAGTGTCTTACGGTGGTGAATAATGTCTTACGGTGGCCTTCATGCTGCACAGAGGAGACCTGCAGTGTTGGTGCAGGGAGCCTGCTTGGGCTAAAAACATCCATGTCTTACGTGGGCTGGGAGGACAGCATGGCTCCCCGAGTAGGCGCGCAGTTAGTACACACACACAGTCAGTGAGACAAAAATACCCACTTCAGGGTCATTTAGGTGTCTACATCCAAATAAATAAATCGGTCTCCACCTGATTAGCACAGGCACTTTCCACAGCACTTTATCGATAATGCCAGGGCTTTTTCCCCGTCAGCCATGTCCCATTTTGTGCTACCACAAGAGGCAGTTCAAGGACTAAACCAGCTGCAAACTAGACCTCCTAGTTTGCTTCAGATTAAATGTTACAGGACTGACCTTGGAAGTACCTCAGCCTCACCTTTCAGAGGGGTCCACAATACAGCACCCAGGTTCAGCACAAAGTACTACCCTAAAATTTTCTTTGGAAAATATGGTCAGAGATGCTACTCATCCTTCTGCATCTTCCTATTGCTAAGTCTCTTACCTGGGAAGTGGGAGACATATTCTGCTTTCTCCTCCCATCCCCACAGCCTAGCAGTGTGCTGTAATTTTGATACTACACATTTATGAGCCGAGTGGTGACCTCTCACCCCTCTTTCTGAATCATGCCGCTGCTCACAGAGACATAAAAGATTCAGAGTGAGAGAATATGCAAGAGCAGCTTGACCCTTACACCCTACAGAGAAAAGGACTTCTCCAGGCATTTAGAAGTCTAGGGTTTGATTTCTTTTCTTAATCCTCTTCCTGCATTTTACCTAAGCTATATAAGCAGACCTCAAGTTAGGACAGCTACACTTCTAGCATTTAATACTGGCACACTTTTTTCCTTCCCACTTAGCTTACTGGCAATTCTTAGATATTTAACTCTTCTTATTCCTTCTACAGGCATCTTCTGTATTATTTTAAGTTTGTAATTCCAGTGTTGGCAATTTCAGGGGTTTTTAGATTTTGTCTCACGGGCTTGCACACGAACAGCACGCACAAAGTCTGGAGCTGTAGGAGCTGATAGGAATGGCTGAATTCTGACCCTGGCATGAAAAGGATGACTTGAGGGGCATGTGAGGCAGTACAGAATTGCTCTCCTGACTTACTCCGGTAGCTACAACAGATGGATCACATAATCCAATCCAAACAGCAAACAAGTTTCTTGGTAATAACAGAAAAGGACACGATGACCTCTAGGTAAAAATCCTAGGAACAGCAAGCACACAAACATCAACCTGAGCGACTTTAATTCTGCCACAGAGCTTGAACTGAAGAGAACAGCAAAGACAAACACCCAAGACAGATTTAATTCAGACTGTAATTCACTGCATACACATGCCAAATTGTGGTATAAACCTCACGCCTTTTAACACTCCTCATTGTAAGGCCTATTCTTATCTTGGTGATGAGTGTAGGTTTTTTAGGAAGATTTTGGATCCTTTTGCAATTTTGGTGCGGCCTTTAGCAGAGAGGAAGCTGGAAGTACTTCAGGTTACTAGCTGGGGTGGAATATGTCCTAGTACTGATCTACAAATGCAGGGCATCTTGTGCCGGGGCTCTGTTGATGAATTACGTTACAGCTACAGACAAGCACATTATTGTTACCTCCCTCTCCCCGAAACAAAGGTGTTTTAACCTTCGATTTATTTTGTTTGCCAGGGGCATTCAGTTCCTCAAAGGGAAGGCAATACCAGCATAAACTCTGTTTTCTTGGTGCGAAGGCACAGACCTCTTGAGTTAGCATGTACCTTATGTAACAGACTAAAAATTTCCCTGTTCCTCCTTCTGATTAACAAATCCTTGAAGAGCTCAGTTCCCCAGCACTCAGAAAGCTGATATGGTAGCAGGGGTCGTAAATATTCATTTTCTGCCCAAAACAAGGGAGCATTTCAGAAATAACGAGTATTGGGAAGAGGGTGGATTTTGGAGGGGGTTTCCTTTAGTTTGAGTGCTCTTAGTTTATACCACTAGATGGCACGTTTGAAACTCTTGGCATCTCGGTGAAATCACAGCAAAGTCTTCGCTCTGCATCACACCACGTTTACCCTGCTAGCCTTGCCTGGGATGGA